GAATAGTCGGAGGACAGAAATATTTAATAAATAAAAATAAAAATAACCATGCAATTACTGTTTTGCCCTTCATTAAATTAGATTAATTGTAGTCATTGGATTTTAATGAGGTGCAATGGCTGAGATTCACTTAGTCATGTGACTAAGAGACCCCCCCCCTTAGTCACCTAATCTTAGCCCAAGTTGATTGCTTTCACTTTCACTTTCCGAGTGCCACGCGTTAGTTAAATACGACGCTTCCCGATCTCAGCGACGTGTAAGCAAGCTTTTGTTTGGTCTTATCCTCAGCCGCATAAGGTAAGCGGCGAGTTGGCTGGTAACTGGTAAGTAATTTGATTTCTTTTTTTTTTTTTGTTAATTGTATGGTTAGTCACTGAGATTATAAAAAAACGTTCAAGTTTGGTCACTCAAAATATTTAAACCCATTGGTGGTACTTTAATTTACTGAAATCGTTCACGTTTGGTCACTCTCCGTCCAACTCCGTTAACTTTTGCTTACGTGGCGGTCAACTCTAAAAGTTGACAGTTAAATGTGTGACGTGGCAATTTAAAAATAAGAAAATTCATTTTTTAAAATTGACATCTCATTTCTACCTCATTATCACTTTTATTTAAAATAAATAAAAAAATCTCTAATTACTTTTAAATCCCAATACCAATATTCTTCCGCAGCATACCCCACCGTCGCTGCCGCTTCCATTGTTGCCGACGATATGACTCTCCGTCGATGAACTGCTCCTCTCGGAAGACAGAGGAGCGGCAGGGAGGTAGCCCAGTGCAATAGAGTGAGTGGAAGGGATCATGGCGTTGTTGTGGTGAATCCCGTAAAAGAGATTAATCGGGCATCCAATTTGCCGCTTCGGCTGGTCCTGGCGGAGAGAGTGGAGGTCACCAACGGGTTACTGTGATTTGTATGGCTGCAGAGGGTGTACCATCGAGGAATCCGCCGGGTCTCCGTTGCTGCATGCAACTTCCTGTCTGACATCGCGAGGGTTTCTTTTAGAGGCGGGTTTGGGGGTTCCAATTGCTTAGATTGCTTTTCGATTTGTTGTTGCAGGGAAAGGACGGCAAAAGGAGCTGGGCAGGGGATTGATTTACAGTGAGAGGAGTGAGATTTGTTTTGGGAAATTATTTTTATATAATTGACCCCACTTTTTCCTTCTTCCTCCCCTCAATTAGATCTGAACTCACCTAGATTTTGTTAGAATTAAATGGTGTGAGCAGTTTCTTTGATTGTATATCATGAAGAGTGATTTACGAGGGATTACTTTGAAGGAACATGGTAAGAAGCAGGGCGGTCGAATGAGAGAGAAGATAGAGACAGGATCGGGAGCTCGGGGTGGAGAGGAGGGGAGATTTTGCGAGGGATTGTAATCTGTAACTAACTCCAGGTTTCCGTCATTAACGTCGAGATGGAATTTTGGTAGACGCCGGAGGAAAGGAACGAGAAGGGAAAGAGGGGTTGAAATTCCTCGCCGCTTCTGGAAGAATTGGCAAGAAATAGAGGACGAGACCGTTGTTGCTGGCGATACGACTCTCCGTCGATGAACTGCGACGGCGGGGTATGCTGCATGTTGGGTGATGGTATTGGGGTAGGGGTGGGCATTCGGTCGGTTCAGTTTCGACCGAACCGAAATTATGAATACCGGGTTCCCGAATTCTCCCAAACCTCAAACCGAATTCGAACCGAATTATAATTCGGTTCGGTCGGTTTAAACCGAATTATAATTCGGTTCGGTTCAATTTTTAACACAAAACCGAATTTGTGAGGCTACTTGTATATTCTCACTTCTAAATTATTTTTCACTCCTAATATAAACAATAAATATGCAATTATATGCATCATCAATGATAAAATCAAACTTTTCAACACATAAGTCATAAAACATTTCAAATATTTAACTATAAAAACAACTACAAATATAAAAATCCACCATTTGGAGGTTGCAATTGTAGTATTTCGGTCGCAAATTCGAAATTTCGGTTCGGTTGAAAGAACCCTGGTTTAATAAATATCTATATTTTCCTTCCGAATTCCGAACCGAATAGCATTATTTCGGTTTCGGTTCGGTTTAATTCGGTTTCGGTTCAGTTCGGGTTTACCGAACCGTTTGCCCAACCCTATATTGGGGTTTAAAAGAAATTAGGGATTTTTTATTTATTTTAAATAAAAATGATAATGAGGTGGAAATGAGATGGACAATTTTAAAAAATTTAATTTTATTATTTTTAAATTGCCACATCACACATTTAACGGTCAACTTTTAGAGTTGACTGCCACGTAAGCAAAAGTTAACGGAGTTGGACGGAGAGTGACCAAACGTGAACGATTTCAGTAAATTGAAGTACAACCAATGAATTTAAATATTTTGAGTGACCAAACTTGAACGTTTTTGTAATCTCAGTGACCAACCATGCAATTAACCCCTTTCCTTTTTAATAGTTAGTCATTTTATGGTCTAGGATTACGTTTTATTTGGGCTTCTCAGGCCCAATTTTATTTGGCGAGGCTTATTCTCCAGTTTTAAGTTTTTTCGAAATTGGATTCTTGCAATCATTAGCAAGGTGGCTGGGCCTTTGGTCCTTTATATTTCCTTTTAATTAATAGCATGGACTGGGCTTTCATGTGCCGCACTTTTGTCTATATTATTATTATTAAGTTACAACTCTATACTCTGCATAGGTGGGTGTCATTGCTCTAGGGGACTATTTGTGTCTTGTTTGGGGCACTTTTGTTTGCTATTTTTGCAGGTGACCGTCTCAGTGGCCAACTTTTCGAATCGGAAAGGCAACGTGTGGGATTTGTAGGGTTTGCAGCATTTCCGGCATCTGACAGCCACAGGGGTTTGATCCTTAACTTTCGCCCTGTAAAGGGTGGAAATTAAGTTAAGGACTTAGCCTTTGTCGAATAGGTATTAAAGAGATGCCCATATCGTGGCAAGAATGCTTTCTTATCGTTGGTCGATGGTTGATCGGCTAGCGTCCCTTCTTTTTTATTTTAGCCAGAAAAGGCTTTATTTTTGTACATTGTATCTGCTGTTTCCCTTTTATGGGAATATCTATGAAAAAAAAAAACTCTCCACCATAATCATGATCAACATCTCACTCATATCCAAACTATCTAATGGCTTCTTCATTGATGCCACCTGCCTTCCTTGTGGAAAAACAGCAATGCCACTTAGCTCTCATAACTTCCCTTCCCTTCTTCATGTTTAATTTAATTTAATTTAATTTAATTTAATTTGTTTTGTATGAGTGTTGGACAGCCATTCTAATTCGATCTCATTTGCATAGGAGAAGAGGATAATAGCCGAGTTACTTTCCATCTCAAAATTTCAATGATAAATGCTTTAAAATACAACTTGAAGTTGTACTATAACTTTAAACGTTCAAATTGAAGTTATAACATAAAGGAATTTGACATTTATGTTATGTTATTGTACCATAAAAGGATTTTCAAAAAAATATAAATATAATCTAAAGTTATACTATAACATTAAAAGTACCATAAAAGTAAAAACTAAAGCATCAATTGTTTTAAAACATAGTAAAATTCCTCATAATATATTGGTAACTTTCCTCCCATCAGGGAGATGATGTTGATTAGAAAATTAATTGCCAGCAATGTAATTCAAAAATCAACGCCGCAAGCCCTCAACTGATTATTCTCTCGCTAAAGGAGAGATGCAGTTTTGGAAGAAGAGTATCTGGATGGGAAATTGGTAATTCCATTATATGTTTGGTCAATATTGTATCTATCTATCTATATCTATACATGGCAATTCAAGAGCAATCTCTTGTCACATAAGCACTTGGAGAATTCACAATTTGTCAAGTTGGACAACAACAAAAATTAGTTATTAATGTATTTATATAGCTACCTCTCTTCTTTAATATTTTCATTAATTTTATCCAATTATTATTTTTCATTTATCTATTTATTCTTTTTGGCTTTAATGATAAGTTACATGTTGATAAACTTAACCAAACACACATAAATAATATTTTTTTGTCAAGTAAAAAAAATATAAATAAGAAAACAGAGAGTGACATATATTACATTTGTTTAAATAAAAAAGATATGATTAAACCTTATGAAGTAAATTTTCTACTCATTTTTACTAAAGTTGAATGGTAAGTTACATTTTGATGAAAAAATTAAACAAACATACACATAAACAAATAATGTTTTATCGATTAAACAAAATATATACGAAAAGAGAGAAAATAAATATTTGACATTCAATTACCTTTGAAAAATAAACTACATTACTTTATATTTTGTTGCAATGAAACACTCTTTTATTCGTAAAGCATTTGTCTATAAAATAAAACAAGTATTATTGAGCCAAAATGTCATAATATAATCTTGATCGAGTAGTTACAGTTATTTATTTACGTAAAATTGACATCTAAAATAGAGCACACAATTGTACTTAAAGCAATACATTCTCTTCTCGTGTATATATATTTTTATAATGGTGAAATAAATTGAATTAACTCAAAACAAACAAGAGTAACACAAGCACAATCGAAAGAAACAAAGTGCAGCAAAACAGCAACACAAGCCGCGAAAACAAAGAGAAGCGGACATCAATCACAGGCCGCGCCGCAAATAGCAAAGAAAGGCAATCAGCAGCGCGCAGGCCGCGACAGATGGACGACACCAACAGAATCCAGGGAAGGATCAAACAGAAAACCCACACGAAGTTGCTTGTCTTCACTAATAGTTTCTTGACATTATCCCTTTTCTTGTTTCTTACTATTTTCTTATTCGGAAGTCATCCATTGATTCCAAGCAATCCAAAATTTGACCCCTTCCTACTCCCATAACCATAACAGCAAACAAACACATTTGTTAGTGACTCAAGAAACATGTTTTGACTAAAGTTGTTTGCATTAGGATGACTTGAGGAGCAACATCTCGATCGCCAAACAACTTGTTTCACGTGGAACGGATTTCGTTTGGTTGGAGATATTTATGATTATAGAAAGTCAGTTTTCTTTATCACTGAATTCAGCAGCAAGTTGCCGCCATCAATCCATACACTAGAATTGGTTGTCTTCTCCGCCGATTCACTCCTTTGTTTCAACTTCTCCCCACGGTACTGCTTTTCCATCGACCTTTCCGATATGTTATCTTGGCTTCAAAGCAAATTTCTGTTATTCCTTTTTCTTTCTAAGAAAAACAAAATGGGAAAACCCGGGAAGAAAATGCAACCTAATGGAATATATAAAATTATAAATACGCTTAAAATGGGAACCTGAGCTTGTAGATAGTAGTGCGCCTTTACTTCAACAAATTTCTTGCTTTGCGAAAAGTCGAGAAATCTGTTTCAATTCAAAATGGCTAACATCTGGTACAAGGTAGGGTTTATCTTGCTGAGCTTTGCAGTCCTGTGGCTCACTCTGCTCCAGAAAATGCCCTCGTCACTCAGCTTCCCGGCTTCTCTGGCTCTTTCCCTTCCAAGCACTACTCCGGGTATGCTCTCCTTGACTCAAGTGTTGTTGTTAGTCTCGGTTAGTTTTATGTTCTCTGTATTGGGTTCTTAGGCCCCTGGAATTCTGGAAATGGGATGCTTAGAAGGGTCCTGATGTCTGTATTCTTGTTTGATTTGAAATAACGGGTTTTCTCTGTTTTCCTTTTTTGGGTTTGGGTTTTCAAAGGTATGTGACGATCAATGAAGAGACAGGGAAGAAATTGTTCTACTATTTGGTCGAATCGGAAGGGAACCCGACCAAGGATCCTCTGGTTCTCTGGCTTAATGGTGGCCCTGGATGCTCTAGCTTCGATGGATTTGTGTATGAACATGGTATGGTTAATCTCAATTGGATACGAGTGATTCTTCAAGACATTTAGTGCAGCTAAATTATAGTTGAAACATTGATCAGTAAGAAGTAACTCTGATAGGACTTTTTTTGTTTGTTCTTTGTTTCTAAAGCGAATGGGATTGAAGATTGCTAGTTAGATTGACTGTATACTTGACTTGAGAGATACGTCTATATGCACTGTGCAGGTCCTTTCAATTTCGAGAAGACAAAGCAAGGTCTACCCAAGTTGCATCTGAACCCATATAGTTGGTCCAAGGTTTACTTAACTTTTCCGTTTTGACCCTAACGTTAAGAGTTGATAATTTGCAGTGCTTGAAGTTGAATTCTTTTCTCTTCTCCTGAAAATGTGATCTTTTGAATTCTAGGTTTCAAGTGTTCTATACGTAGACTCTCCAGCTGGTGTTGGTCTTTCTTATGCCGACGACATATCAGAATACGTAACTGGTGATCTAAAAACTGCAACCGATTCCCATGACTTCGTCTTGAAGGTATTCAAAGTGAATGGAAAATTCTGGTATTGAAGATCATTACTTTGTTGTGTGCTTATGGTATCGAAAATGTGCTAATTCCTGCAATTCAGTGGTTTGAGCTATACCCGGAATTCCTTTCAAACCCTTTTTTCATTGCTGGAGAGTCATATGCTGGAGTTTACGTCCCAACTCTTGCCAATGAAGTTGCCAAAGGTACTGTCTTTCTTTTCTCTACTTGTTCAAGTCATCCATATCTTGTGACAAGATATCAAAACGAGGGTTTGGTTCTATTTACAGGAATTGATGCTGGTGTGAAGCCTGTCATCAATCTGAAGGTACCAAAAATATGGAAATCATCTCTTTTCAAGGCTTAGCTCCAACTGAATTCTTTCATCCTGCAAAGTAAAAACCCTCAAAGGCCACAGATGTTGAAAATAATAAGCATTGCATTTTGTGCAGGGTTATATGGTAGGAAATGGAGTCACTGACGAAGCATTTGATGGCAATGCTCTTGTTCCGTTTGCCCATGGGATGGGCCTTATCTCAGATGACCTGTATCAGGTGTGTCGAGTACTCTATTTCATACCAGTGGCAAAAAAATTGTTGCATACCTGGATTTGGAAATGAAAACTTTTGGGGTGAAATTCTGGTGGTGTAAATTTTGGATTGTGGGTTTTATAAGTTTGATGAGCTGCTAGTATGGATTTAAAATGATGCTTTGTCATTAACTTTAACGAGCGGGTTGGAATTTCTTACTAACCGATCAAAATGTTTCATCTAGTGTTCTTAATCGCCTTTTTTGTTGAAGGGCACGTTAAAGACTTGCATGACTCTGATAGGTTCGTTCAAATGCTCTGCAGGAGACGAACCGTGAGTGCAATGGAAATTTCTATAATCCACTCGAGAGAGCTTGTGAGGAGAAACTGCAAGAAGTTGATAGGGTAACAGCCAAACCTATCATTCAGAAGCAGTTTGAGAATTGGTCTCATTAAACTCCTGCATCTTCAACATGATTGTTCTATTTTGACAGCAAGTTAAAGGTCTAAACATATACGACATCCTAGAACCATGCTATCATGACAGCGCTGCTAAAGATGCAGCAGATAACAAAATCAGACTGCCATCCAGTTTCTTGGAATTAGGTGCAACAGAACGACCTCTTCCTGTCCGGACAAGGATGTTTGGTCGTGCTTGGCCATTTCGAGCTAACGTAAGAGAAGGAATCGTTCCAACTTGGCCAGAGCTCCTTAGCAGCCTTACCGTTCCTTGCACTGTAAGGAACAGTAGTTAGTGATTTCCCCCATTTTGTCTTCTCTGTTTTTCCTGCAGTATTTCGGGTTTTATGTGAGATTCTGTTATATGTTTCCCATGTAAGGATGATGAAGTTGCTACCGAATGGCTCAACAATGAAGCAGTTAGGGAAGCAATCAATGCTAAACCAGTATGTTGTCCTCTCTTAATGCTAAATACGCTTTAAGATGTAACATTTTTCAGTCCATTTGATCGATGTGAGTCGTGACTATTACTTGGGTGATGACAGAAAAACGTAGCTGGGGATTGGGAGCTGTGTACTGGTAGAATCAAATTCCACCATGACGCTGGCAGCATGATGAAGTACCACAGGAACCTGACTTTGAAAGGCTATAGGGCACTCATTTTCAGGTAGTTTATCAGATGGCAGCTGCTGTTCAGCATCAAACTCTTAAGAAACCAGGTCGAGTTTTTCATGTTCTTCGAACATAGCATTTGGTTCAATGTGATGGATTCTTGTTACCGTGTTTTGGTGGTAAAAAAAAAAACCAGTGGGGATCATGACATGTGTGTTCCGTTCACTGGGAGTGAAGCATGGACGAGAGCAATGGGATACAAGATCGTCGACAAATGGAGACCTTGGATTTCAAATGGAGAAGTTGCTGGGTATGAATATATATGCAGTTTCTTCCCATCATTAAACTTTGTTCTGCACGTTTCTGCTGTTGTGTGTTCAATCCTGAAAGCGATAGTTGATGTTTGCAGGTACACTCAAGGGTATGAGAACAACCTCACCTTCTTAACCATCAAGGTAACGTGGGAATTAATGAACCATACCTATACGCGTCTTCCTTGAAAGTTTCTGTTAATCTAAACTAACCCTTGTTGGATTTTCATGCCTTGCAGGGCGCTGGTCATACTGTTCCAGAATACAAACCAAAAGAAGCACTTAACTTCTACAGCCGGTTTCTTGCTGGAAAAGCAATATGATAAAAGAAAGATCCGTAGAAAGTAGAAACGCTTCCACGTATGTGTTGTTTATAGGGGGCTTAAATGTGGATGTGTGGGGGGACAGGGGGAGTGCAATAGAAGCCAGTCAGTTTGCTGCTTCTTATTCTTTGTCCTCTTTATTTAAGTATAACTGGTAATAATAAGAAGGTTTAATAGTATAATTTATCCATTTACTATATTTTTTCAAACTTGTCTTCTATTATTTTTCACATCAAATGTACACCTCTATTATCACAAAATATTAAACTTATCTTTATGTTAGATTTTTCATTCAAAAATCGTTAAATTAAGTCCAATCATTGACTGAACCATATCAAATGTCAAATTTGCTCATTTTCCCTTACTAGTTCCACTTAACCATTATCACCATCAGTTATTGATGTAAGATTATTATTATTTTAAAATTAAAAATAACTTCAAAATTACATTAATGTCATACAAAAATAAGCACTTGGAGATTCTTTTATTTCATGGAGATGTAAAAAGCAGGATCTTGTGGACAAATCTTCTAAAGCAACAAAATATCACGCCAAGTCCGATGTGGTCTATAAACTAGGGTGGTAGCACCAGCCACTAGGAGATTTTTGGGTGACTTGTGCCATTCCTGTGTCGTTATTTGTTGGTAAAACTAATGCACTTCGGAATGTCACTAATCTGGTTCTCTATGATCCGAAGTATATTGAGATGCATGTTCACTAATCTGGTTCTCTATGATCCGAAGTATATTGAGATGCATGTTCATTACATACGTGATCTAAATTGTAATAAGATGGTTCAACTATTATATATTGCATCTGAATATCACGTTGCTGATCTTTTCACAAAATCCATCACTTTGTGTCAATATCTGTTTTTCGCTAGCAAATTGATGATGCGAGACCTCCACCAATATGGGAGGCTATTAGTGTAACACTGTTTCTGCTTGGGCTTTGTGTCCCATAATTATGTGTATGGGATAAGGATATACCGTATACGTGAGGACTTAAATGGGATTTATGTTTGTAAATAAATAAATAAAAATGGGGGATTTATGTTTGTGTACATATGCATACCATACTTTAGGGTAGGGTTCCTTGGAGGATGCCTAATTGCCTATAGGCTATATATGTGTGCGTAAATAGAGGAGATGAGCAACGGCGGATCCAAGATAGCGTAGAGCACTGGGCTACATTTCAAAAGAGGCGAAAAATACTGGGTCGTAACCCGACGAACACTAAAATGAATATCTAAAATCGAAAATTTATAAGGACTATACTAGCTCTAGATTCGGAGAGGGCTGGGCCGTCGCCCGGGGGCGGCCCCTGAATCCGCCGCTCGAGATGGGCAACCTTTGAGCTAATAAGATCAGTTGCTAAGTTGTGGAAGGATTTTTTGAGCTTATGATCTTGTATAGTATTAAATATTACTCTTGTGGTATAGACTGATATATAAGTGTCAATCGTTTTTTTCCAAAATATATCAACACAAAACAATATGTTTCTACATAAAATGAAAGAGCTATAACCTATTAAATTTAATTGTAGAAAAATTATATATAATCCATAACCAACCTGGTCCCTCTCACATTTCTTTTTTTGTTTTCATCGGCTGCATCACTAGTTCTACTGAGAGCGGATCCCGTGATAAACTTATGTGCATACCCTTGCATAACCCGATACTTACCATTTTTGAAAGACTAGTAACTTTCCCCAATAAATTTAACGAATTGTATATCTTTCATTTTAAGTTAAAATTTAAAAAATTTATATAAAAATAAGATATAATTGTGTTCTTCAAAATGAAATCTTTTTTGTATATTTTGGAAGAAAAAATTGGAACTTTTATTACCTGTTTATACCACGTGGTAGCACTTGGTATGTATATAAGACAATACCACGTGGTATGAATATACGACAGTATAGACTGTAGAATGGTTGTATACATGACAGTAAAAATATACTAATTGTTATTTACCACATTTTATCATCGTCTACCACTAATTACCATCCTATACTAGGATAGTATAAGATGGTATATTAAGTCTTGAAGTTTTTTCTTCATAAATTTATATATCCAATAGATCAACAAGACAAACTTGTCACTGAGCAAAATTATTCAACTTTTGAGTTGAAAATGAAGGTGTAACGGGTGGCCACGAGTGTTATGAATTTTTTCTCTAAATGTATTGAAAATAAATATCATTTTGTAGATCACAACGAATTCGTTACATCTGCGCACAAAATTTTAAAATTCAAGTTAGAATGATGAAGATAAAAGCCGATTAAAAAAATTGTTTGGTAAAAGGAGAAGAGTGGCTTGAGAAATATTAATAATTAATTAGTAAGGGTATTTGGTGGGATAAAAAAAGAGATAAATAGAAATTAAAAAAATCCTAAAATCAAGATATAGAATCTCTATATTTATCTAAAGATAAAATTTACGATAAAGAAGAGAAAAAAATCATTTTTTCTTGAATCTAGGCATTTAATGAACATGTAGGGATGGCAACAAGTCGGTTTGGGGACAGATATTTCATATCCATTACCAGTGGCGGATCTAGGGCTGGGCCATCCCAGGCCACGAGCCCACGACCCAGTAATATTTAAAAGTCATTCCAATGTTATTTAATAATATGATTTTGTGTAACTTGAAAAATGGTCTAGATGAATATATCCAAACCACTATTCTAAATTTAGACTAAAAATTCAAGCCGCAATAATTTTCATTTGAAAAGAATAAAATAAACAATGAAACCTAAAAGCCTTACACGTAAAAGACTAAAAGTGTAAAGTTTCATTGAAATAAAAATAACAGGATGAGATAACATGACTACCCCTAAAGGTAGGGGTGAACAAAACCACCCGCAAACCGACCCAACTCGCCCGTATTTATCGCTAAAACGAAGGTTTTGGATTGGGTGAGGGTTTTATTTTGTACAACCCGCCTCTTTTGGGTTGGGTTTGAATTTTGGACTACACAACCCGTAGAACCCGACCCAACCCATGTTCCAACTATTGGTATGAGTTCGTATCCACAAAATATTTATGTCGTATATAGTCATACTTATGAGAAAATTAAGATATTTCACCATGTTTTTCTCTCATGGTCTCCCTAATCTAATGTATTCTTTGGCTTAAAGTTTAGACATAAATTTAATATAGCTATGATTCACATAATACTTTTTCTTGTGTATAATTTTAATAGAATAACATATTATGGATGCGTTCATTTATAACCTTTTTAGCCTATTTAAAAAAACATCGTGAAAAAAACTAGACATATGTTGAAGTAAATCGCATTTTATTAAAATTCAAATAACATCTGTGAATTTTGATACCTTTCACCTCGGTTTGTTTTTTTGAAATTTTAATTAGTTATAAAATATTTTTATGGTGTAGAACAATTAGATATTTTGTGTTGGGTTGGGTCTTTACTTAAAAATATCATCAACCTGACCCAACCCAATTAGAAACAAACTGTAGAGTTTAAATATTTTTGGATGGGTTTGGGTTTAATATTTTCCAAACCGTAGTGCATGGGTCAAGTAATTAAAATGGCTAAACCCGGACCACCCGACCCATGTACACCCCTACCTAAAGGGGTTGGAAAAATGACACCCCTATTTTTTTTTTTTTTACAAAAGATAATCACGTATTGATTCAAAAAATAGGAAATTACACCCTGGAGATCAGCCAGGACTGAAAATCGAACAAACGACTCATAGTCGGGTACAAAGAGAGGGCCTTTCTAGCCACCAAATGGGCTACCCTATTACTACTCCGACCTACAAATCGAACACTAAACACGGGGTTGCTGGAGAAACCCAGCACCACTTCTTCAAGAATCGCACCCAACCGGTTGTCCCTAGTATTGACCCGCCTGATCTTACCAATGATCACCTTGGCATCCCCTTCAAATCTTACGTTCGTGAAGCCATGGTCTAGACACCAAAGAATACCCTCACAGAGGACAAGCAATTCCACGACCATGGGGTCATCAATTATAATTGAATCCCTTTAGCCAGAAGGACTTCCCGAGTAGGGATCATAAGGACCAACCCGCCCGTCGAATGAGAACCTCTCCTTGTCGCCCCATCCCACATACAAACAACCCCGGCATGACCCATCAGTCCTGGTTGTTATACTATATGATCAGCGACCTGAAGAGGTTTATTCATCGGCAGCCGCACCCATTCCTCATATTGCTGGGCAAACTGTCGCATCAACGCATGGATCCCAAACTGCTCACTCTCAAAGACCACCCAGTTTCGAGACCGCCAGATCCGCCAAAGGACAGCAACAACTGCCATGAATAGCGTTGGCTGCTGAATTAAAGCCATCATCTTTTTAAGAAATAGAGGGAAGGTATGCCGAGGAAGCCCCTCCCCTAAGTACTTCAGCCCCGAATAGCCCAAAGGGCCCGTGCCACCGGACAATCTAGAAACAAATGTTCCATCGTTTCCGGATGTTCCCAGCAAACTGGGCACCTGGGAGCACCGGGTCCTTCTTACCAATGAGGGCTTCCATAGTTGGTAAGATACGATTGAGGATCTGCCAAACAAACACCTTTAACTTGGGGGGAATATTAGCCTCCCACAACCGAATCCAACTGTTCTTATCCATCCAACCAGCCGTAGCCTTCCAGCGACCCCTCCTTCTATCAAGGGAGACAGCCAAGTGATAAGCAGACTTAACAGAAAACACCCCATCATCAGTATCATGCCATATGAGCCTATCCTCCAAGTTTTGCCGCGGGAGGGGAATAGTTTTAATAATACGGCAAGTAGGTGGGTCAAACCAATGGATAAGTTTGAGATCACACCACCGCCCTTCCCCTTGAACTATTATCTCGGCAACTGGAGGGTCACCCCGGACGGGTTAAACCTGCGGATTAATCGCGGGGGATCCAGCTGAAGTTGAGGGATCCAGGTGGAATGCAGCAGAGATGCCGACCGCCCATTCCCAATTTGCCATCTTAAACCCATCTCTAGCAACTGCCGACCAAACAAGACACCCTGCCATCCCCAAGATGGGCGGGAGCGAGCCTTAGCATGAAGGAAATGCCCATTAGGAAAATATTTACCTTTGTAGACTTGGGCAAGAAGAGACTAGGGCTAAAAAAGGATACGCCATCCACTTTTGGCAAGGAGGTCCTGATTAAAATGTTCAAATCGGCAAAATACCATCCCACCATCATACTTACTCCTACAGAAATCATGCCAGGACATCGATCGGATTTTCGAATGGCCCTCGTTAGCACCCCACCAGAAAC